GTGATCCTCCTGCCTCAGCCTCCCAAGTGCTGGGATTACAGGCATCTGCTACCACACCCAGCACAAGATGTTGTTCTGAGGTGCTGGGCAATAGGACTTCAGGTATATATATCTGGTTGTGGGGTACAGATTTCTACCTATGACACCATCTGTGACCATCAGCTCCCTCAAGCACATACCATTCTTCTGTGACCCAGATCTGCCCACCCCACAGTTACCACGCCACCTGCACCTGCACCCGTGCTGGCATTGCACCCGCCAGGGCCTCACACTCACCCCGGGGTACCATAGGTTGGACTCAGCCCTGGCCGCCCTCAGAGGCCACCCAGGGAGGCGGGGCTCCCAGCTGGGTACATTTGCAGCCTGGCGCTGGGCTTGTGGTCTCGCCTCCCCTCCCACACGCAGGCGGCCTTGACGCCTCCTCTCCGGCACCCGTCCTGCAGGGCACTGGCCGCTCTGTCCCACCCTGGCGGGCCTGTCTGAGGTCCCCTTCTTCAGACCCACACACCACCCATCGCAGGGGCGACAGACACACACTCAGCACCGCGCCCCTCTGGCAGCCCGGCTGGCCGAGGTCTGGTCCTCATTATGGGCCAATGCGCCTGTTTACGCACACAGCTGGGGATGGTTAGAGAGTGGTAAATAATGAGAGAGAGAACAGGCTTTCCCCTCTGCGGCTTCTATTTATGTAACGTGTGTCACTGCCGACTCACAGGCTGCGTTTCGGAACTGCTTGCAGGAAGTCGTTTATTTTTTCCGGACGGTGGCTGGAGGGGCAGGGCGGGGGCTGGGGTTTGGGGTTCTGGCCCCCTGCCCGTGGGAGCTTCGGGATCTGGCGCTTGTCTTCCGCCTGCCCAACACCCCCGGGGCAGACATCAGGGTTCTCCTACTCCGGCGGCCTGGAAGGAGCCGGGTGCTGGGGCCCCTCCCAGCTGGCTCCGAGTCCTCCCAGACAGATGGGCTGGTTTCAGGAGCCAGACAGCTTGAGGCCGGGCCGCCCGGAGAGGACGCCTGGGACAGGGGCTTCCGAGGTAGCCGCACCTGTTACCCGGGAGGATTCGAAGGGGATCGCTGTACAAAACGAGGATAAAGACCCGGGCGTGGTGGCTCACGCTTGTAATCCCAGCACTCGGGAGGCCCAGGCTGGAGGGTCCTGTGAGTTCGAGGCCAGCCTGGGCTGGGTAATGAGGGCCGGCCTGAACTACATAGTGAGTTTGAAAGACAAAAACAAAAACCAAGAATGAAAAGAGGCATGCCTTGGGTTCGCTTGTCTTGTGTCCTCTGAGGGCCCTCCGGGGTCCTCCCAGCCGGGTGATGGCGAGGGCTGGCGGTGCTCTGCTAGCTGGTAGGTGGGAGCCAACTGCAGAGTCCAGGGAACACATCGCCACCGCCTTCCTCCCAGAGACACCCTCTGTGCCACACTGGTCGGCCTGGCTCGCGTGCAGGATGGGGGCAGCCCAGGGTGGGGAGGCTGGGAGGTGGGGGAGGTGACCCCAGCTTCCACAAATACTGAGGCGGGCATCCTGTCACCCAGGGCAGGGCAACAGTGCCTTCCGCCTGAGGCCCAGCGGCTTCCAAGTCCCCTTCGAGGGATGCGGAGTCCGCTCTTGAAGATGGCCCTGGAAGCCCCACTCCGCCAGATGCGTGCGAGCTACGTCCAGGGGCAGTGTGAACAGGTGCAGGGCAGGCTCCCACCCTTGGCCCCGGGTTCTTGCAGGCAGCATCCCCTGGGGTCTCTCGAGATCTGCAGAGCAGCGGCTTCAGCCTGACACAAGGACTTTAAGCTCTGTCTGCCCATGGATCAGAAGAGCACACAGCATGGACCCAGCGCTAGAGAGGGGAAAGCACCAAGGAGGCCGTTTTCCACTTTAATGACTTTTTTTTTTAGTCAGGCATGGTAGTGCATGTGTGTGATGCCAGCTCTCTGGGAGACTGAGACAGGAGGATTGCAAGTTCAACTCAGCCTGAGCAATTCAGCAACTTAGTGAGACATAGCTACAAAATACAAAAGGATCAAGGATGTAGCTCAGTGGGAAGGACCTGGGCTCAATCCTCCGCTTAAATAAATAAATAAATAAATAAATAAATAAATAAATAAATAAATAATGGGCGTTAGATTCAGAGAGCTCTAGAGTCTAGACCCCTCTCCAGGGCTGTAGATTCAGCAGGTGGGGGTTTCCAGGAGCAGGTTCCGGGGATTCCTGAGATTGGGGATTTCCCAAAGACAGGAGACAACAAGGCCCTTGAGCCCCTCACACAACACCAGCACACACAAGGATGGGACTCTGACTCCTCCAGAGTGGAAAGGAATTGGTCAGAAGGACAACAAAGCCAGGTGTGGTGGTGTACAACTGTAATTCCAGAATTTGGGAGGCTGAGGCAGGAGGATCCAGTGAGTTCAAGGCCAGTGTGGGCTCCATTGTGAGATCCTATCTCAAACAGAAACAAAAGCAAGCAAACAAACAGGAGAGATGAGAGCGCAGGAAAGCCAGGCACCTGGCTGGTTCACTGCTGCAGGGTGGGCGCTCCCAGCCCCCACAGGTGTCCAGGCATCCCCTGCCCATGTGACAGGGCCAAAGCCAAAGCCAAAGCCGCTCTGCACCGTGACCTCCTGCAGCCTCTGCTTCCTCCTCAGCCAGCACGCGCAGCTGCAGTTCCCAGGGCTCCAGCCTCAGTTTCCCCTTGTGCCTCACCCCCAGCCAGCCCTCCCTGCCTGGAGATGACCTGGCTCCCTGGGCCCCGAGGCGCAGCCGCTCTCCCCTCCTCCCACGCCGGGCGGCGCCCTCCTGGGAGCCAGGCTTTGCTGGAGGGCAGTGCGGGAGGCGGGCTGTAGCGGAGCAGCCTCGGCTCCTCTTTAGAAGTCCCGGAGGAGGGAGATCTGAGGCGCGGCTGCCGAGAAGGCGCCCGCAGCAATGTCAGCCCTAGCAGCGGCTGACAGGATGCGAGCGTGGATTAAGGTCGGGATCAGGGAAGCCGGGATGAAGGCAGCTCCCGAGTCCCTCGCTGCCACCGCCACGCTGCCCCGGCTGTCTGCTGTTTGTTCCTGCGCTGGGAAGGAGGGCAGGGAGAGGAGCAGAGAAGGACGGGCCAGGCAAGGGCAGGCAGGGCTGGAGGGAGCCAGGGGTGGGAAGAAAGATGGGACCCTTCCCCTCCTGTCCCTGTCAGCTCAAGGCACACAGCCGCCTGGTACCTTCCTCCTGTCCTGAGTGTTGGGGGGCAGGGCCTGAATTATTTTCTCTGGTTTTCTTGAGACAGGCTCTCACTATGTAGTCCAGGCTGGGCCTTGAACTGGCGGTGATCCTCCTGCCTCAGCCTCCTGAGGGCTGGGATTAGAGGTATGCACCATCCAGCCCAGCTGAGAAGTGAATTTTAAAAACACCTTGTCCTTTATGCTGTTAATCCAAGTTATATCTATTAATTTTTAAATATATTTATTGTACAAAATTTGGAGGATACTGAGAAAGCACAAAAAGGAAATCAAGATCGCTCACATAACACGGAGAACCAGGTAACCATGGTCAGATTTTCTTGCATCTTTCTATAGTTTTTTTTTAAAGTTCACCCTCACACACAGGCTCACACTCACATTTACACACATGTACATTTAACTTTATTACAGCATAACACACTTAATGTACATAGCATCTAAAAATTTAGAAACAGGGTCATGGAATAGTCCTCTGTGTTATAATTTAAAATGACTGTACTGCCAGGTGTAGTGGTGCACACTTGCAATCCCCGTACTTGGGAGGCTGAGGCAGGAGCGTCTCTGTGAGTTCAAGGCCAGCCTGGGCTACATAGTGAGACCTTGTCTCAAAAACAACACACACAAAAAATAAAACAACACGACTGTACCGTACTCCTTCTTTGGGGTCTATTATAAAGCTTATCATGGCGGGGGATGTAGCTCACTGGCACAGCACCTGCCTGGCAAGCGCAAGATCCTGAGTTTGATTCCCAGTACCAAAAAAAAAATAATAAAGCTTATCACTTACCGATCTTCAATTTTTTGTTTTGTTTTTTTGAGGCAGGGTCTCACTATGTAGCTCATGTTGGCCTTGACCTCATGGCGATCCTCCTGCCTCGGCCTCCTGAATGCTGGGATTACAGGCATATGCTACCATGCCTGGCTCCATCTTCAATTAGGGACCCAGACTATTCTAGATTTGCTCTGATAAACAGCACTGCAACAGACCACCCGCAAGGAAATTAGAGACCCGTAACTGCCCTGGTTGCAGTATCTATCTACCCAGCAGGGTCCTTGCCCTTCCTGGGTAGCATGCGTTCATCCTTGTGGCCAGAGCTAAATCCCTGGCCTTCTTTTTTCTCTTCTTTCCCTCTCCCTTCCTTCCTTCCTCCCTTTCTTTCATGGCACCAAGATCAGACCCAGGGCCTTTGCACTGTGCTACATCCCCAGCCCTTCTTTATTTTTTATTTTGACACACGTCTCGCTAAATTGCTGCAGGACCCAGGCTGAGCTCCAACTTCTGATCTTCCTGCCTCAGCCTCCCTGAGTGCTGGGGTCACCAGCCTGAGCCGCCATATCCACCATATCTATTTCTGACAGCAGCCCTATTTCTTGGCCCCTGAAAAGTGAGCGCCCATGGCACCCCTTGCCCCGGCCCCTGCTCTTCTGGCCGCCTCCCGTGGCTCCTAGGACCGTCTGCTTCCTCCTTCCGGGCTCTAGGTTGGCGGTGCTAATACGCATGCGCAGGTTCTGGGCTTTTGGGGATGAGACCCAACACTCAATTTTTCAGTGGTTCTTAGAGCAGGAGAGGAAGTAAGCACGATAGGTAAAACTTAACTAATTTAATTTCTTCCCCTTCCGCCATCTGTGTCCCCAGCCTCCTGGAATTTTCTCTTCTTTTTTTATTTTTAATCTCTTCTCCTCTTCCCGTCCTTGCCACTCCTGCTTCTCTTCTGCCTCTCCCCGGCTCTGACCCACACTCGCCTCCTCTCCCCTTCTTTTTTAAGTTCTTTTTTTTCTTTTAACTTTCAAGGTCATTCCGGACTCCCGACGCTGCCAGTCCCTCGGTGAGACATGAGCGCCATTGGCGTCCATGGCCTCTGTTTCCGTGGCAACCCAGTAACCATTAATTTTCAATTAAAGGAGACAAAAAGCTCAATGACAGCTCCAGGTCCGCTGAAGATGTCAAGAATGTGTATTAATATACAGCACGAGAGCATAATTGTGTGTCCATCTTCCAGTGCAGCGAAAAATGGAGGGGTAATTACCAGCTCGAAAGCCACTCTGTAATTTAGTTCTTACTGTCACCACAGCCCTGCACATTAGCATAAATTAAAAGCAGAGTTTATTGTTATCAAAGTGCGTTGATAGTGCCAGACCTGCTTTCTTCCTTTTAACTGTTTGTTGTGGGCGAGTGACTCCCTGACTCTCGCTGGGGTCTCTCCGGGATGGGCACAGCGCACGCCACGGGCGAGGCTGGGGAAGGTGGCACCCATCTCTGCCACCTTTAGGGCCCGTGGGCTGGAGGGGACGAGGGGCAGCATGGTGCCCGTATTTGCGTGGAGGGCTTTGTTTCACTTGCTTTCTTTCTTTTTTTTTTTTTTTCCTTACTTTGTTTTTTACTGATGCATCCTTTTTGAGATAGGGTCTCACTGTGTAGTTCAGGCTGGCCTTGAACGCACAGGGATTTTCCTGCCTCAGCCTCCCAGGTGCTGGGATTATAGGTGGGCGTGTGCCACCACTCTCAGCTCTCTCCAGGCTCTTTCCAGGAGCATCTGCCCCATTCAGGTTCTTCTTGGGCGCCTGGTACACGAGGGACAGGCACAGGAACTCAAAGCCAACCTAGGGAACAAAGAGAGGAGCTCATGCACGGAGCTCCTCCAAGGCAGGATGCGTTTTCCTGAGGCAGGGTGAGGCCAGGTGACAGCTGCTCCTGACCACTCTGTTCCCTGGGACCCCGGTCCCCGGGTGGCCCCTCTCCCCTTGGTGCCAGACGTCCGCCCTGTGGCCTGGGCCCACGCTGCATATTCGCTCCAGGAGCTGCTGTGCCTGGTGGTGTCGCCGGCTGAAGATCGGGTGTCGGCGAATGGGGAAGCAGTTTCTTAAGCCACATCCAGAGCCAGCTGTCCTTCAGGAGGGAATTGAGTGTAATTACCCTGAGGGAGCGGATCCTTACACAGTCAGTCACAACACTGACCTCCTGGCTGCAGTTTGACAGCGAAATTACAGCCTGTGTAGGCAACAGAAGGGGCATCCTCCTTTTTTGGGGGGAGAGGAAGCGGGAGGAGGGAAAGGAGATACGGAGGCTTTGAAAAGAAGTACGGCTCACAGCTGCCAGGCGCGAGCTCTTCTTGGCAAGGCTGGGGCAGGCGGAGGAGCAGGTCCCCGGAATCCCAGGCATCTCAGCTGCCTGGTGACGGGGAACCAAGGCCATACTCGATCCCTTTAAGGTTCTGAGTCACAAATGCAGCTAAAGTTAATCCCACCAGCTAGGCATGGTGGTGCACACCTGTAATCCGAGCACTTGGGAGGCTGAGGCAGGAGGATCGCTAAGAGTTGGAGGCCAGCCTGGGCTGCATAGTGAGTTCAAGACCAGCCTGGAATACATAGCAAGAGCTTGTCTCAAAAAAAAAAAAAAAAAAAAAAAAGTTAATCCCATGCCAGGTAAGACTTGGAGAGTGTTAGAGAGCATTTCAGAAACTGGCGGGCCTGTGTCCCCAGCACACCTGCCCTGGGGTCCCTCCTTCGGTGGCAGAGGACTTGTCCCTCCTCCTGTTGCTGAGTGGACACCTCTCAGACCCTGTTTACCTGCACCTGGTTGCCTGGCAGGACTCGCATGCTAATCTGTGACCGGTTCCAAATTTAGCACGGTCTTATCTCTCCGACGTGCTGCTCCATCACGTGGGAGGGCGCTGAAGGACACAGGCCGGGCGGGTTTCCACCAAGTACTGGACAAAAGCTCAGTGGACTTCAGAGCTTGGGAAGGAGCCCAGAATCCCAAGGCTGGATGGGGCTGTGGGCAGCAGCAGGGTCAAACTCCCCCAGAGTGGGGGCCCCCCACCCCAACTTCTACTCCCCCCCAGCTCACCATTTTTGCTGCTAAACAGCTCCGAAATAATGCTGACCACTGGAAACTTCTAAGCATGAGGAAATCTGTTTCCCAAAAGAAAGAGCCAGGCACGGTGTCACACACCTGTAATCCCAGCACCCGAGAGGCTGAGGCAGGAGTGTCTGTGAGTTCGAGGCCAGCCTGGGCTACATAAACAAAACCTGTCTCAAAAAAAAACCAGACAAACAAACAAAACCAAAAGACCCCAAACAAACCAAAGAAAGAATAAAGCCAGGTGTGGTGGTGCGTGCCTGTAATTCTAGCACTTGGGAAGCTGAGGCAGGAGGATTGCTGGGAGTTTGAGACCAGCCTTTGTTACACAGTGAACTCAAGGCCAGCCTGGGTTACATAGTGAGACCCTGTCTCAAAAAACTAAGAAAAGAAAGAAAGAAAGAAAGAAAAAATCTGTTTCTCTGAAATTCCTACCTACCTCATGGAGCCTCAGTTCAAATCTCAACTTCCCCCAGTGAGCCAGTCCTCTGGCTTCCTAAGACAGTGCACCTGTTGCACATCTTCTGGGAATCTGGGACCCAGCTGGCCCCTTCCTGTCCTGCTCAGCCTCCAAGGAGGTGTAGAAAAGGAACCCAAAGGGACAAGGGAGGCTGGGGGGCACACTCAGCGTTTATTGAGCATCTACTATATTCCAGACACAAATGCCCTCCCTCTCTGCTCCCACCCATTCACCCCAGTGAGGGGCACTTATCATTCCCGCTGCTGGAGAGGTGAGAAGTACTGGGAAGGTTCAAGTCCCTGGGCTGAGGGAGAGAGCTGGATGGCAGCCCAGATGCCTGAACCTGGTGGTGGGGACTTGCAGGCAAATTGGCTGCCTTAGCCCCTAATGCACTCCCTGGTCCTCGGGTTCCCATTACCAGAGCCCCTCTTCTGGGCGGGAGGTGGAACTGCAAGAGAAACCCAGGCACCCTTCCTCCTCCCTGAATTTCCTTGAAGCCCTCAGCAGCTGCCTCGGGACACCAGGGCAACCCCAGGGGTTCCTTCTGACCGAGGACTGTGCCCGGCGCTTACCATGTGGCAGTGGACCCTGGGCCTTGCACTGCCTGGGCTCTTGCAAGGCCATGTCCTCCCCCTTGGGCCTCCCCAGCCCCCTGCCTGGGCCCTGCCCTGCTCCGGGTCCTCCGCAGCTGGGTCACCTCTGACCCAACTTTGCAAACTACCTCTCGTGAACTCCGGGTTGGTCTCCTGCACTCTGAGTCCCGAGGAGCTGAGACCACGAGCCCCAGGCACCTTGAGTGAGCAGCGTGTAGCACTGAGTGTACCTAAGACATCTTGTCAAGTAGAGGGAGGACTTTACATTCTGAGGCGTTTTTTTTTGTCTTTTTGAGACAGGGTCTCACTGTGCAGTTCAGGCTGGCCTTGAGCTCACTTTGTAGCTCCAGTTGGCCTTGAACTCGCAACAATCCTCCTGGCTCAGCCTCGACTCCCTAGTGCTGGGATTACAACTGTGTACCACCATGCCCGGCTTCTGAGGCATTTTTATTTTTGTTTTGTTTTGTTTGTTTTTTGAGACAGGGTCTCCCTGGGTTGTTCAGGTTGGCCTTGAACTTACTATGTAGCCCAGGCTGGCTTCAAACTCACAGTGATCCTCCTGCCTCAGCCTCCCAGGCACTGGGGTTACAGGTGTGCATCACCACTCCTGGTAGGGCTTTCCCACTGAGCTGCATCCTCAGCCTTTTTATAAAAAAAATTTTTTTTTCTTATTTTGAGAAAGGGTCTCAGTGGGTTGCTAATTACTCAGGTTGGGCTTAAACTTTGAATCTTCTGTCTCAACCTCCCAGAGTGCTGGGATTACAGTCCTCCACAGACACACTTGGCTTGTTGTTTTCACAATAGAAAAGCACCAGAACAGCTCCTTGTAGGCGGCTCATCAAGATCACAAAGCTGGCAATGCCCAGGTACAAGCCTGACATTTGGGGCTGCTGACCCCTTGTGGGTTCAGGGCGGGCCCCAGATTCAGCTTGGGGCTTTGAACGTGTGTGGTGGTTCCACACTTCCCGGAAGCGACGGGGCCCGGCTTCCCAGGTTTCCACTTGCCAAGGGTCCAGCAGTCCTCGTGGGTCCCTCCTCTCCCATGAAGAAAGGGGCCTTCTCCCTGTCTGCAGCCCCTCGTCCTACCCCCAGCCCAGGAGGGGCCAGCAGGTGGGGCGCAGGGCCCCTCCCTTGCAGGACCAGGCCTTGCCCGGCTGCCGAGCACACCCGGCGGACCCAGCCCCACCCCCCTGCAGATGTCAATCCGGCCCCGAGCGGCCACACAGAACACACATCTTAAACAAACACTTCTTGCTGTTTATCTCCCCGGCCTTTAAACAAACTCTTTCAAAGGTTTCTGCTGATAGGAGAGATTTACCGAGAACCAGTCCTCGCCTAAAAGCCCCGGCTTTCTGCTGCGGGGCAGCGGGGGCAGTGGGCCTTCGGGCCTGGGGTTTCTCTGCCCAGAACCACATGTTTATCCTCCTGGATGCGATAGAAGAGCAGCACAGACTAATCTTTATGAAAAAGAACACAATAAAAGCAGGAAAGGGGAGGGCCCGAGGCCTGAGGCTTGGTTCCTGTCTCCCGGGCCTGGCAGACCTGGGTGTGGCAGCGCCCACTGCAGTGAGGGGGTGGGGCGCACAGGGAGGGGGTGCTCCCTGGACTTTGGACAGAGGTGCAGGTGAGCCTCCTCTTGGGCTTCCAGGCCTGGCAGAGGCCAGAACAGCCTCTCCCAGCTGCAGGGGGGAGGGCACAATCACCTGGTAAGGTCTACCTGCTCATTCCTTTGCTCTGCCCACAGGTGGGAAGCACCTAGGGAGTGTGGGACTTTGGGGTACAGGGACCAGTGATTGTTAACTTTTGTTTGAGGTAGGGCTCACCATACATTGCTACAGGCTGGCCTTAAGCTCACTGTGTAGCCCAACTTGGCTTTGAACTCACTCTGATTCTCCTGCCTCAGCCTCCTGGGTACTGTGATTACAGGTGTGAACCATCAAGCCCAGCTAACATTCACTTCAGCTTTCTTTGGGCCTTGTTTGGAATTTCTGACACGAGTGAACTCATTTAATATGCCAGGCCCCAGCCAAGCGAAGTGGCACACGCCTGTAATGCGAGGGCTCGGGAGGCTGAGACAGGAGGATCACTATGAGTTTGAGGCCAGCCTGGGCTATATAGCAAGACCCTGTCTCCAAAAACACACACACAAACAAACAAAAACCCCAGACAAAAACAAAACCATGAGGCCCCAGAAGTGGGTAGT